TGAACACAAATTAGTTAGCATAAATCAGTTAAATGACGAAAAATTAGGTGTCTATTTACTTATGACCACTCAGTGTACAATTTTTTTGAATAATATTTTCCATTTCCGATCTAACTGGATTGATGAGAGTGGAAAATGTAACGAAATTGCAGAACTCGACTAATCAGCAAATTATCTAATAAGAGTAATAATGGTCTACGTTTACGAGACAAGTATATTTCGATCAGTTGCCTGGTAACGAATGTAACTGCTCCTTAAAATTAGTTGAAATAATCCTTGAACAAACGAAGCAGTTAAGTAAATTTCGATTAGTTCCTTGGTAACGAATGCAACTGCTCCTTGAATTAAGTTGAAATAATCCTTGAACAAACGAAGCAGTTAAGTAAATTTCGATTAGTTCCTTAGTAACGAATGCAACTGCTCCTTGAATTAAGTTGAAATACTCCTTGAACAAACGAAGCAGGCAAGTAAATTTTGATCAGTTGACTGGTAACGAATGCAACTGCTCCTTGATTAAGTTGAAATAATCCTTGAACAAACGAAGCACTTCATTTTGTTTCTCTTTAGGAGCTTATCTAGTTTGTTAAGGCTTAAATACTTTACAAGATATTACTTTCGAGGCTTGATTAAAAAACATTATCACCTGATAAAATCTATTATCTGTTTCGTCAGGGCGATTAAAATTAACTGATGATTAAAAAGTAAAATCCTCCAAAGATCCTCCTGACTTTTAAAGTTATTCTAACGTACTTACTTTACCTCTGTAAGAGAATGCACACAGGAACCATACAATTTCAACAACCATTACACAGGCTTGCGAATTTAAACTTCATAAAAGTTGTTTTGGTTTTAATAAGGGGTATTCCATAATTCAACTACGCAAATTTCGAAAATAATATTCATTTTTTTCTATCACGAAAGGATTTTTTTCACAAATCGGGAAGAATATAAACTCTTACCTAGATCAAATTATTACTTAGTTTACCACAATAAACATGATTTAATATTATGTTTGTTAACAAAAAACAAACAAGCTGAAGAAAAGGGAAGAACATTGATGTCAAACGAATAAGAATCCTCATTCATCCTGATTTTGTTTTTTTGGTGAAATCTACATCTATTGGTATCAAAACTACGTGTCGTGGTCTTTCTTTTATGTATTACTTTATCACGTTTTGTGAAAAATCTGTACATGATGGACAAAAATGGATATCATTTTCGGATACAGCGTACAGGAATCACTGTGGAACATGTAACAATTTCAAGACAATAATACCATCGCAGGCCTATGTTATTTATTTCTGAGTAACAGATAACATTATTATAGAACCTATCTTCCAAGGATAAACAGTTGTCTCAAAGTAGCCCCATTGGTGATTTTTTAATCCTCTTTTTTTATTTCATTTCTTCACATAAAGGCTTTTACCTTGGATGATCAATCTTAACACCATGTTTTCAGGATAATGGGCAAATGATTTGATATTTGTCGTTTCCTGGACAGCTCCTGTAAGGAAAATCAAAATATAGTGTTCAATAAATTAACAAACAAGCACCCTAGTGTTAGAAAGATGTACGAAACTTGCCGACACTCTGTTATTTATTCAATATTCAAGCATTACAAAATAATTATTGATTTTATTATCATCAGGACGAAAGAATTATTTACCTAGAAAAATTTAGGCGGTTCGTTTAACTATTGTATATGATGTACGGTTTTTTCGGGGGGGGGGTGTTGTGGTTAACGTAAGTGTTCCAAAACGCGACATTAGTTTCTTGACGACCTAATAATGCTACTAACTATTATTTTGATCTTCTATAATCTGTATGTTTTTCTTGTTGTTACTTGTACTCTTCTTTCCAGTCAGTTCCATTTTTTCTAGTTTATTCTTATATTTTATTTTATCTTTGATATTCTCAGAAACCATCATAATATTTTTTCGCCATATTAAAGCATAGGAAGATAATCTTTATCATTTTATCCGAACTACTGAACGACACATTTATAAAATGTTGATAGATTATAATATAATACACCAAATACAGTTTATGCATCTTACTGAAATCAATATACATTTTTTGCCTGAAATGATAGTATATTGTTTATGTTTTACACAGAATATGACTACTGTTTGTGCAATTATTTTTAACAATTACTTGGCAAATACAGACATCACCAATTTTAAATAATTAGCTTATGCTGTACCTCAAGAAACTTACGAAAATAAACAGAGAATAATAAAATATAATTAATTGAAATAAATAATTCACGATATAAAAAAGATGGTCATATCGTTTGTTAAGAAAATCCTAAAGTAAGAATGAAAACGTTAGCAGAACACAGGATACTGATGGAGGAACAAAGAAGAAGGAAACGTACATTATCATTACAAACCACTTTACCACAATCAAATTCACGTGAAAAATTTAAAAAGGGAAAAGAAGATATTATTTTTAAAGGTGTTTTATTCATATTTTGAAAAATAAATATATTTTCTTGTTTCTGGAAATTCTTACCTTGAAATATTGCACCATTAATATGCGTTTGCTTATGTGCAATAACATCTCAAAAAGAACTTCAGAACTTTCTTGTGCATGTTCCTGCACATGTATATTTGTTTATATTTATATATATGATTCAGGCTTTAAACAGTTTTTTGGCTGGTGTATGTGTGGGTTTAGGTGCATTCTGATGGATCATTTGTTAATATTAATCTTATTTCATATCCATACCGCATTCATTTTGAAAATGTATATTACAAACAAAAAACTGTAGTCAACTGCTTTCTCGAGTTTTGGAGACTATTGAAAAAACTAGTATTCAGAACGGCAAGTATTTAAATATTAAATCGTGAATGCTGAGGGTTATATTATAAATATTTCAGATCAGCTTCACCTCCATTTTAAGTTATTCTATAAGGTAATGGATCTTTCTTATTTTCAAAAATATTAAAAACAACATTATATTTATTAAATAGAAGTATAAAATATGTCTTATTTAAAAGATGGATCTAGCTGCGATTTCCTATGTGATTCCTCGAAATACCATGTTTTTAGTGAATTTGATTTTAGCAAAATATAAAAAGAAGAAGAAATATGATGATTGTGTTCCTTCAACTACAAAATGCATATGCATTATTATTTGTCGTTATGAATTAATACTAGTTGTTGTAAAGTAGAAATGTATGGAAAGTAACATTATACACGTTCTTTTTGGGTAACATAAAGAGCCTTTTGGTATTAGTTTCCTTTTTGAAAATGTACTTTTTGTTCAATCTCTTGACAACCTTTGCTCACAACGGCGTACAAACGTGACAACAGCGAACCATTTAGCACTATAGGCAAGGATAAAGAGATTCATATTAGTTAACGATAGTGCTTGTTTGTCCTTTATTATTTGGTTAAATCAGAGTTATATGATCACAAAAGGATGAAATATATATCAATTTTAAATCAGGTTTGAAACCAGAAACATGTGTGCTCATACATATTAGAAAGTTATGAAATAGCAGTTTTAGCGAAAGTGCACATTTCGAACTATAGTATTATACTTGAATGACATTACATAGTACTTATAAATATATACTTTGTTACTATTACTCAACGTGTAAGTTTACTGTATAAATTACAAACACGTTTTGCTAAAATATTGAAAACGAAACAAAACAAAAAGTAAATCCAAACTAAAAACAAAAACTCCTGTATATAAATAGGTGCATAATTAATGAATATTGTATTTGTATTAGGATGTAATGGGCTGTTTGGCCAAAATCGCTTGAAATATAGTATTATTGGTTTATAGCCAGTCAATGTACTATTCAAAAGATTGTTCCTATTAAATAGTTAAAACAAAATATTTTCCAGATATTTTGAATTAAGTAGAAGTTTTGTTTTTCAATATACAACATTATGCGTTTATTTGTTGGTAAGCACAGATCTAGGCAATGGACTATCTGTGCTCTTCCCACCTGAGTATCGAAATCAGTTTTTGGGTTTTAAGCTTTCAGACTTGTCGTTGAGCCGCTTGGAGGCGTGGGATCAACTTTATACATAGAAATATATTTAACACATGATTCAATTTGAAAAAGGCCCGGCATGGTCAGGTGGTTAGGGCACTCGACTCGCAATCTGTGGGTCGCGGGTTCG